GCTCGGGCCTTGGGCAACTTCTGCAAGTTCCGAGGATGGCAAAGGGAGTGGGGGTCCCTCCCGGACTAGGCCTTGGAACCCTGGCCCCCAAATATTTCCGGAGAGAGGAAGAGATGTGGTTTCCACATCTGGAGACCCCCACCCTAGCCCCAAACTAGAAAGTAAATACTTACTCAGCCCCGGACCAGGCACAAGCTAATACTCAACAATACTGATGCCTTGTTTTTTTTGCTCTGTTCGGACCGCAACGCTGTAGCCAATTTAGATATGCTATAAATTTAAGAGGTTGCCATGGCTACGGCGCGCCCATTGGCCGCCGGGCCCCCTACGTGCTGCGCCACGTCACCAAATCTGAATAAGGATGCGCGAATTAGGCGACGGCCAGACAAAGATGAGGATCCGGACCGCTTGAAAGTGGGGGAAAGTGCCGGCGCCTCGCCACCGGGGAAAGGCGCTTGGCAGTGCAGAGGGCAGCAGCCACCGAGACACCTGGGAGCCCAGAACCAAGGCCCGGGCGCGCGACTCGTGGCATGAGGTTGTGAATGCCGCCGCCCCCCATCCCACTCTGGGCAGCCCAGCTCCAGGCCAGAGATCGTCCGAGGACTTGACCGGCTGAGTCGTGGTCTGAACCGGACTCGCGTGGCGGCGGCGGCGGCGGCGGCGGCAGCATCGGCGGCGGCAGAGACAAGAGGCCGAGAGCAGCGGCAGGACCAGGAAGTCCAAGGGCCAGGGGCCCAGAGGGAGGCGAGGCGGCCGGGGCCGCCGGGGCGCGCGGCTATGATGGTGCACTGTGCCGGTTGCGAGCGGCCCATCCTCGACCGCTTTCTGCTGAACGTGCTGGACCGCGCGTGGCATATCAAATGTGTCCAGTGTTGCGAGTGCAAAACCAACCTCTCGGAGAAGTGCTTCTCGGGGGAGGGCAAGCTCTACTGCAAAAACGACTTCTTCAGGTAAGAGGCCGAGCGCACTGCTGCCCCCGAGCCCGTCCTGCCCGCGCTTTGCCAGGGCGCGGGGAAGAGACCAGGAAATCCATCCCAGCCTCCGGCGTTTAGCTGGGAGCGGGTAGCCCTCTGTCCTCCTCTGCTCCTCCAACCCGCAAAGAGCCCGTGCCCCGGCGGAGGAGGAAGGAGGCTGCTTTTTGGCCTCACCTTCACCCCCAGGGAGCTCCCAGGGGCGGTGGGACAGGGGAGGAAGCCTGCTCACCACGGCAGCAAACGCAGCACCCAAGCTTCAAGCCCCGCTCTGAAGGAGGCAAGGTTTTCCCTGGAGTTCAGGGCGACTGGAGATTTTGCCTCCAGAGCAGGAGTCCTGAGCCCAGAGGTGCCCTCCTGAACACACGGAAACTTCCCAGCTGCAGAGGGGGCCCAGCGGCAGGGAGAAGGAACCTCCCCCTTCCCCCGGCTCACCCCCACCCCCTTAAACATTCTCTTTGCTGCCCAAAGCCCAAATGGAACGGAGGCTGGGAATCAGGATCTTTGGGGTCTAGCTTGGCTGTGTCACCTACTCCCGTCCTTCTGGCTCTCAAGCAGGCCGGGACAGACCATCCCTCCGAGCCTCAGTTTCCCCATCTGGGAAAGGCTAGGGTCAGCCTGGAAGCCCAGGGGTTTTTCCAGCAGCTTAGCCCTGTCTGCTTCCACCAGGCACCCAGAGCCGGCTTTGTCAGTGCACATTCCGGGAGCTGAGGGAAGGAAGGGGGGGCGTGATCCACCCCGCAGAGAAAGGCAGCCCACCGGCCCAGCATCAGGGAATTTGAATAGGAGAAAATGTCAGCCGCGCCTTTACATGTGTAAACCCCCTGGCCCGGAGGCCTGACGCCCCTAATGTGGCGGTGCTTGCAAAGCGCCTAATGATTTTTGATAAGGTGCATATGGCCAATTACACTGCCGGATAAGGCCAAAAGTGACTTATGGCTTCTAATGCCCTCACTACATCAATGTCACCCAAATTCACCCTGTTTAGAGACATGGGTGTGAGGAGATGTGGGGTCCCCAGAGTCCTCATCCCTCTTCCTTTCCCCCATAACCTGCACCTGAGCATTCGCCTTGGGGGGTCTGCACACCCACTCTGGGAGAGGCAGGTTTCTCCCCGAGCCAGAAGGAGAAAGAATAGGAATTAGACCTCAAAGGAGGGAACTGGAATTAGAGTGATCCCAGGCCCTGCCATACAGGGTTTGCTGTGCCTTCTGCTTGCATTTTCCCGCTGACTGCCAGGGCCAGGTTTTGGGGAGCGGGGTGCAGCTCAGTCCCTGCTTCCCAGAGTCTGTCCCTCTGAGGCTCTGCTGTCCACAGCTCCTGGCTCAGAGGCCTCACACTGCAGACCAGCCAGGCTCCTTGTTAGTGCTGGGAATAGGTAGAAGGTTCCCTCCTTGCTCATGCCCAGCCGGGAGCACGGGGAAGGGGGTTCTCACCCCACTGCTAGGCCCAGCAGCCAGGCAGGTGGGCCCTCCCTGGACCCCTGCAGATAGGAAGAGTGCAGGAGGAAAAGCCCAGAAGTGGCCCAAACCCAACCTGCCCTGCCTCCAGCCCTTGCGGGGGAGGAGGCTGGAGCTCGCCCCTTGGCAGTCCCCATCTCAAGAAGAGCCCCAGACGTTTGGCCCTCTTCTGTTCTGGCCACCGAGGGTAGAATCGGAGTTCCAGCTGACAGATGACAAAACAGAGGCTTCTCAGAAGCCAGGGTGGGCGGAAGCGGCTGGAGAGGACTGGACCTGGGTCCACCTCGCAGTGACAGACGCCTTGTGTCCGCAGACGCTTCGGCACCAAGTGTGCAGGCTGCGCGCAAGGCATCTCGCCCAGCGACCTGGTGCGCAAAGCCCGGAGCAAAGTCTTCCACCTCAACTGTTTCACCTGCATGGTGTGCAACAAGCAGCTGTCCACCGGGGAGGAGCTGTACGTCATCGACGAGAACAAGTTTGTGTGCAAGGATGACTACCTGAGCTCCTCCAGCCTCAAAGAAGGCAGCCTCAACTCAGGTATGCAGGCCTCCGGCCTGCCCCAGCCGCCAGCCTGGCGCCCTCTGCTTCCTTCCTTGCGCGGTCAGTGCTAGGCTCAGAGTCGATCGCCCAGATTCCCCTGGCAGGCAGTTCTTGAGCAAGGAGAGGGGATTTGAGGCAGGGAAGGGAGAGCATTTGAAGTCCACCCCATGGGCAAACCGTGCCCTGGGATTCCTGTGCCCCTAATTTAGACCTGCTTGATTCATTCTTCTGTGTCATTTGAGGTCCTGGTAATTTCTAGGTGAACTGCAATTTGGAAAACGGAGAGAAGGGAACAGAAGAAAGGGAGGGGACATCTGTAGGCCCCACTGTCCCCTCTCCAAGAAGGCGGTTCTCCCGAGGCCTGCCCTCGCACCACCACCCCCAAGCCCAGCTCCCCTGGAGGTGCTGAGAGGGTTGGAGCAGGGCCCCTTCAAAGGCCAACCCGCCTGGAGAGAGTGGGCGGGCGCCGGGTCCCTGCGGGGAGGGGCCGTGGCAGGTTTGGGAGGGAACCCAGCCTGGTCAGCGGTAGCCTGGGCCGGCTGGAACCGGCCACTGAATTGGAGAGGGATCCGACAGCCACTGAAGCCACTGATGCCGCTGACGCAGCTGTCCCCTTCCTAATCCGTCCGCCCACAGTGTCATCTTGTACGGACCGCAGTTTGTCCCCGGACCTCCAGGACCCACTGCAGGACGACCCCAAGGAGACAGACAACTCGACCTCATCTGACAAGGAGACCGCCAACAACGAGAACGAGGAGCAGAACTCGGGCACCAAGCGGCGCGGCCCGCGCACCACCATCAAAGCCAAGCAGCTGGAGACGCTCAAGGCCGCCTTCGCCGCCACGCCCAAGCCCACGCGCCACATCCGCGAGCAGCTGGCGCAGGAGACCGGCCTCAACATGCGGGTTATTCAGGTGCGGTCTGGGGCGCCACGTCCTCCACACTGCGGCTGGGGCTGGGAGCCGACAGCCCCCTCTCCTAGAAGGCGCGAGCTTCTGGTAGGGCACAGCCGAGCGCCCCGGGCCAAGGACGGCTGGGCACCCACCCCGCCGGAGGTGGGGAGCAAGCAACTGAGTTCGCCCAGCCCTGCTGTCCTCCTGCTGTCCTCCTGCTGTGTGACTCGGGACTGGGCCACTGCACCTCTGAATTCCGCTTGCTGCCCTGTTCCACGAAGGTTTTAAGCCTCTCTGGGGTCCAGGACCCCTCCTTCCCTCCCATCTTCCAAGCAAAGAAAGGCGAGGTCCGAGCCCGCCGGCTGCAGAGCGGAGGCAGGAGCCTTGCCGGGCGGGAAGTCTTTATAAAGCCGTCAGGCCGCGGACAAACCGAGGACCAGGAAGCCCAAGTCTTTATGAGTCACCCCACGGGTCCGCGAAATCCTTCACCCTTGGCTGGTTCGCCAAGGCCCCTCTCCACCCCTCCCGGCCTAATCCGGCCCGGCCTCCGCCTCGGGGGAGGCCTGGTGTGTCAGAGGCTTTAGGACCCAGCAGGGGCAGTGCGGGCGGGGAGCGGAGGGGAAGGCGCTCGGGACCCCGAGCTCACGGTGCCCCCTCCTCTGTTCCAGGTGTGGTTTCAGAACCGAAGGTCCAAAGAGCGCCGCATGAAACAGCTGAGCGCTCTAGGCGCACGGAGACACGCCTTCTTCCGGAGTCCGCGGCGCATGCGTCCGCTAGGCGGCCGCTTGGACGAGTCTGAGATGTTGGGGTCCACCCCATACACCTACTACGGAGGTAAGAGGCGCCCCCGGAACGCGCGGCTCTGCACTTCGCCGGCGCCGCTCTGGGCGGCGGAGCGCGCAGAGGACCTGCGCGCGCTTTCCAATACCCTGGGAAATGTTTTGCCTTCTCCCACTCACGTGGGCATACACAATCAACGACACACCTGAACACGCATCACACCCATGCACACTCACCCCGGGCACAAAAGGAAAGACGCGCAGCCATGCAGTGGTACACATAAACACATGAAATGCAGTGGCGCTTTTACCCACGCGGGACGGCTGGGCGCGCGCACGCACGTGCTTGCGTTCAGTCCTCGAGGATGCACATCGCGATACACGATTACAAACAGCCACGCACAGGTACATCCCACCCCACCCCCGCCCCGCTGAGACACAGCGAGGAAGGCACACTTCCGGGGCCCTTCCCCGCATGCCCCTCCACTCCCGCCCCCCCCCCAAGACAAGCCTTGCAGCTGTCCGTGCCCCTGCGCCTGCTGTACAGAAAGCTGGAACTATTCTCAGGGTCCTGGGATGAAGGGTCTAGGCTGCCGCGGGCTACCTGCTTGCCAAGCTGCCTTCCAAGGCTACACCTCCTGCCCAGCCGGCGAGCGGGGCTGTGATCTGGTGCTCTGAGCCCAAACCGAGGTCGCTGTGAGCCCACACTGAGCCCCAATAATGCAGGGGTTCGTGTGGACTCGTGCGCCCAAACGTCCACTTCCCATCTATGGGGCTGGGGAGCACTGTGCGCCTGGGTTTGCGAAGAGGGAGTTCGGAGGTTGGTTTCATGTACTCCACCTGGTCACCCCCTTTTCTCCTTTCTCTCCCCCACCCTCATTTTCCTCACACTGGATTTGCGCCGGGGGCCCCGCCCCCGGGTTTGTTAGGCCCTTGCTTGCACCCAGCAGTCCTGGCTCCCCTTTCTGGAGCTGTGGGCCTCAGGAAACACTTCCCCCTTTTGACTCCTGAATGTCTGGATGTGGTGAGTCTCCTGGAAGGCCTAACCTGAGGGACGTCTGCATTCCGTGCAGCTAGCTCCGTGCTCAGGGCTGGTAACCCAGTCAGAGAGGCCAGCTTCCAAGGACTCAGGGGCAAGCAGCGGGAAGAACGGGCAGGGGCCAGGTGTGCAGATCCCTCCAGCAAGGGGAGGGTGGAGAACCCTCCGGCTCCCGGAGACGGCTCATCGGGAGGCTAAGCCTGGGCCCCTGGAAGTTGTGGCAACGTGGGAAATTGTTCTCTGTAGTCGCAAGGCTAGGTTAGGGAGCCTCAGCCGCTCAGCCTGGATGGTCCAGGCTGGGGTCGCCCCTCACCCACTCTCCATCTAGCTTGGGCTCCTTCCCCACAGGTTAGGCCCTGAGCAGCGAGACGGTGGGGCGGTGTTGGCCGGAATTTTCCCCGCCCGGGTAATTAACCAAGGTTTCTGGGAGGACCTGGCAGCCGCGCACCGAACCCGCCGCGCACAGTCCCCGCGCTCCCGCTGCGTGAGGAGGGAGGCAGGACGCCCGGGTCCCTCTTTCCCCGGAATTTGGGGGAGCGACTCCCCAGCCCCCAGCAAAGCGGCCCCGCCTAATCCGCGTTGGGAGATCCTGGCAGTGGCGGCCGGCAGCGGGCGAGAAAGGGGCCGGGCGGCGGGGCCGGCGGCTCCCCGTGGGAGCGCGGACAAAGCCCCAGCTGCGGCTTTTGTGCCCCTTTCAGACGGCGTTTGTTCCAATTACCTCCGGCCCGGCCGCCATATGGGCGGAGGCGGCGAGCACGGCGCCGGGCCGCGGCCTTCGCGGGCTTGCAGGCTCGCTCCAGTCCCCGGTGGCCCCAGCCCTTCTTACCCTTTGGGGCCCCAAATTCGCGTCTCTCAAGCTCCCTCTTCACTTTTGGGGAGAATGGAATCCGTGTATTTTGTTTGTGGAAGTAACCGGGGGCCGTTTTATCTGCTCCCTAAGCTGTGTCCCAGCCGCGCCTGCAGACCCCCATTTGGAGAGATTTGTGGGTTTGGAGGAGAAAGGAGGGGCAGGAACTCAGCCCTGACCCCCAGGCCCCGGGACCCCGGGACTGCGCCGCGGCGGGGGGTTTGCAGAAGAGGCTGGCTTTTGCGTGCGCTGGTTTTCCCGCCGTGCAAAGCGGGTTGGCACCGCCGCGGGCTCCAAGGCACCGCCTCTGCGGGATGCCCTACCCGACCCTAGAGGCTCCGACCTGCGTGGGGGAAGCTGTTTGTCCCGCCAGACCTCAAGGAGAGGCCTCGGGAGGAGGACAGAAGCGATTTGTGGAGGGAGGTGGCCGTGTCACTTGGAGCCCCGCACCCCCCGGATCTGCGGGGAAACGCGCATCTGTGCGTTTTACTCAGGAGAGAGCCCCAAAGCTGTTACCAGCTTCTCAGAAGGGCTCCATGCCCCCAGACGGGTATCCTGCAAGCCCGTCCACCGTGGGCGAAGCTCAAGCCTCTACCCGAGCGCCACGGGTGTGCGTTTCCGCTCTCCTCTCTCCCTCTCCCAAGTTTCTGGGGCTCGGCTCCCTCTTTTGCAGGTCAGGCCCTGCACTCCCCCGGCCTGGGGCCTGCCCTGGCGGAGGGCTGTGCGGATCCTCGGGGCGCAGGGCAGAGGGGAGGGCGCCGAGCGTCCAGGTGGTGAGCCCAGAGCCCAAACCCGAAGTCCCTCTGCGCTAGGGCGGCCGCCTGTCCCGCTGCCCACCAGCCCGGCGCCCCGGGTCCCTGGCGGCCGTGGAACTCATCTCTCTGCCCGCTGTCTCGGGGTCTCTGCACCCCACGTCTCCCCTTCCCGTCTCCTCCATCCGCCTTCGCCTTCGGGGTTTTCGAAGGTCTCTGACGCGCTGCCTCATCTCTTTCTTTTGCGTCTTCTCCGCTATTTTACTGGATCTCCGATGTCTGGGGCTCTCGCGTCCTTGCTGTGGAATCGCCATCTCTGGGTCCCTTTCTCCCCCTTTTTCTGGCGACTCCCAGCCGCGCCCGGGCTCGTCCTCGCCCGCCTTCGCGCCGAGTCTGCCGGCCGCTCCCTGCGCACCCTGTGCCGGGGTCTCCTTGTCCCCGTCACCTCGGAGACGCCGAGCTCCGCCGTCGCCCCTTCCCCCGGAGCGGTGACTTTGAAGTCGGGACTCTCCGCTTGCGTGTCCCTTATTGTCCCGGCGTCCCTCCCAGCCGAGCCCTCACCTCCTCGGCGCGTCCCATTGTCCTCTCCCCAGCTCTCCTGGGGTCTGCTGCGTCCTCGCCATCTGGAGGGTCGCAGGCCCCTCTCCCCGGGTCTCCCTGGCCTCCGTGGGGCCCTGCCCGTCCTCGGGTCCGTGTCGCCTCTCCCCATCCGAGCGCCCCTGGCCTCAGCGGCTTTGGTCTCCCCGGGATCCCGCGGTCCCCCTCGGACGTCTCCCGTCTCACGGCCCCGTGTCCCCCGCTTCCCTCCCGCAGACTACCAGGGCGACTACTACGCGCCAGGAGGCAACTACGACTTCTTCGCGGCGCACGGGCCGCCGTCGCAGGCGCAGTCCCCGGCCGACTCCAGCTTCCTGGCCGCCTCGGGGCCCGGCTCGACGCCGCTGGGCGCCCTGGAGCCGCCGCTGGCCGGGCCGCACGCCGCTGAGAACCCGCGCTTCACCGACATGATCTCGCACCCCGACACGCCGAGCCCCGAGCCCCTGCCCGGCGCGCTGCACCCCATGCCCGGAGAGGTGTTCGGCGGCGGCCCCAGCCCGCCCTTCCCCATGAGCGGCTCCGGCGCCTACAGCGGGGCCCTGTCGCACCCCAACCCCGAGCTCAACGAGGCGGCCGTGTGGTAAGGCCGGGGCGGGCGCCCCCTGCAGCCTCCGAAACCAAAACGCCCGACGCGGACTCGCGGGGGCGAGGGGGCGCCCTCCGGGGTTCTCTCTCGGGTCCGCACCCAACCGGCAGCTGCTCCTCTGCTGGGCGCGGGGGACCCAGGCCCCACTCATCCCCAGCGAGCGCTCTCCCCGGCAGCCGCGAGCAATTTCTTGGGGCCAAAGTCGATATTCTGGAGGGTGCGGAGATGCGGAGCTCCCGACCCCCGCCCACCGCCTCCACCTCTGGACTAAGGGTCGAGGCGGAGGGCTGGAGAAGATGTTTTTCCCCTCTCTGCGATCCGAGTGGTGTTTTGTAACCTTATTTCTCGCTCTGCTTTCCCCATCTTTAAAAAAAAAAAAATGACTAAAAAAATAGATTGGAAGGGAAAGATGAGGAAAGCATCAGCCAGAAAGCGAAGATGGAGGAGAGGGAATCGGGGGAGGATCCACCTGCGAGTTGGCGCCCCCTGGTGGCCGGTCTTGGGCTCAAGGTCAGCTGATCCGGGAAGCCGGCTTCTCCCTCTTAATGACGTTTTCTTTGGAGCCCGGGGTCCAGGCTGGACTCGAACACTTGCCCATCCTGTTCTGCCCCTGGGCGAGGCGCTCTCCCTGTCCGGGGGCCTGGAGGCTGGGCCGTCAGGGTGTACAATATTATACTTTTTTGGAAGTTGAACGCTTCTAGTTTCCTTATTTTGTATAAAGAAGAAAACAAATAAAGTATGTTTTTGTGTTTACTGTTTATTTATTGTACTCTAGTTATCTGGGGCTGGACATTTTTATATTTTTAAGAGGCGGGTGGGCAGAGTGCGGGAGGGGAGGCAGAAAGAGGTTTACCTACAAAAGACTAAAAAAAAAAAAAAAAACCAAAAAAAATCAACTTTTTTTAAAAAGAAAGATTAATAAAAAAAATTCTTTTTTCCCTCAGCACTGTGTGGTTTTCTTTTTTGTCCCTACACTGATAGAGTGGATGAAATCAGTCTTTTCTCTGCTTCTGTCTCTGAGACCAAGTGAACCCCGAACCTCTTGCAAAGGGGGGCTCCTTCCCGTTACTCACACTTCCTATGAGCCAGGCATAGTATCATCTCATGCTTTAGCGGAGCACAAGCCCTCCAGTACTTGGAAACCCTTGGGAAGGTTTGATGAATGAATGGACTTGTGATCTATCGCCAGTATGTTAAGGAAAAAAAATAAAAAACCTAGCAAATAGACACTGTTCTACACACATCTAATCCCAGCTACTGGGTAGGCTGAGGCAGGAGGATCAAAAGTTTGAGGCTAGCCTGGACAACTTAGTGAGACCCTGTCTTAGAATAAAAAATTAAAAGGGGAGTCGTAGAGCATCCCCGGGGTTGATTCCTAGAAGGGGGGAGGGATTCTAGCTTCAATTCTCTCTGCCCCAGGTAACTCCAGGTGTTCAGAAACAAAACAACAAAACAAAAGAAAGAAAAAAGAAAAGGAGCAGGTCGCAGGGCTGGTGCTGGTTATCTGCAAGGCTGAATTAGGACAGAAGGGTCCCCCCTGGGAGAAGGCTGTTGTGCTCCCCATTCTCATGCAGCTCGTGCCTGTGTGATTAGGTGAAAGCAGGGCGAACAGAGGGCCGGAGATCTAGGGAGCGCAGGGCGCCAAGTATGAACAAGCCCCTCACCCCTCTGGCCTCAGTTTCCTTGTGTGGACGAAGGGGGTGTGGAAGAAACTGTGTCCTAAATTCGCCACCAGCTCAGGCTCTGCAGGGTTAGACAAGCAGATGCAATGAATGAATGAAAATGAACTCTGGAGTCCTGGTCCCCTGGGCTTGGGGTAGGGGACCCCGCCCGCTTCTAGTCACAGCAGGAGAAGGTGGAGGTGGGGGGGGATGACTCTGAAAGTACCAGGGATGGCGCCTGCCAGGCGGCCGCACCAGGATAACACAAGGCGGCTTTGCTTTCTTTTCTTTTTTCCTTTTTCTTTTCTTTTTACTATTTTTTTCTTTCTTTTCTTTTCCTTATAGCACATTTGTTTTTATCAGACCCGTGCTTCTTGCTCACTGTGGAAATTTTGGAAATTTCAGACAAACAAGAGGAAGAGAAGGGCATCGTGCAGGATGTCAGCGCCGTGATGCCTTTGCTTCTGGACTCTTCCCTGTATTTTCTTTCTCAGTCGGAAATCAGAGCGCTCACTCTGTGCACGCCGTGGGGCCGCCCACCTGGCCCCCTCCGCAGTCCTGCAGCCTCACGAGCTGAGCGGGTCGCAGTCAGAGCTACGTCACCCTCTGTAGTCACTGCTCAAACCCCCTGGGCGGGTGCCCCCTCCTTGTTCAGCTTGGTTTTCTTTTCTCTTTTTGCTTCTTGGACAATTCCATCATAGAATGCTTGAGTCCGGTTCCAGTTCTCTTGCACTTGCAACCATGCTGGAATAAACATCCTAGTAGCTGGATCTTTGCACTTGGTCCGGGGAAGGTATCATTTGTCCCATCGGGGTGCTCGCAGAGGTCGAGGGATTTGCTCAAGGTCCTGCGGCTGGGAGCTCAGAGCCCGGATTCAGGTCCGTGGGGGCGGGGCTCTCCTCCACTCGGCGCCTTGGTTGCAATGGACTCCAGCGGCCGCCGGAGAATCCCCCAGGCAGACCTGTCCCAGCTTCCCCGGGATGTGTGTGGATTTGGGAGAACTTTAGCCTGAGTGTGATATGGGGTGGAAGCTGGGAATAGGTGGATTCACCCCTCAGTGACCCCAAAAAGGGCCATGACAGGTTGTCAGAGGAGGCGATGGAGGAAGGGAGAGGAGGAGGCGGGGAGTGGGAAGAGGAGCCGGATGGTGAATGTGTAGCAGGAGGCCCCTGTTAGTGAGCCAAGCCTCCTGATGTACGCGTGCCCTGTGGGACCCCGCGCCTGGAGGAGCCGCAGAGCAGGGTACGGGGTGGGAGCTCCAAGTGGGAGCATGCCCCCCCCTCCTGTGTACAGGCACACGCACTGTGCACACACCAGGGTGCGCAGTGCACGCTCGCCCATGCGGGTCCATGCACACACAGAGAAGCAACGAGCAGAAGGTGTGACAGGCACACGGATGCACATACATGTGCACACCAGCCGGACACACGCCTGCCCCCACACACGGACACAGCCGTGTGAATGCGCACAGTGACGGACATGCCAGCCTACACGAGCACACGGGACCCACAGCTCTGGGGACACACGCATCCATGCACTGGTCTTTGCACTGATCCCACGTAGACACGGAGCCTTGCACAAACCCACAGCTGCAGTCTGCAAGAGCCTGGAGCAGGAGCGGTGGCCTGGCACCAGGGACGCTTAAATAATGGGGCCCAGCAAGCTCTCTGAGGGTGGCTCCAGGAGGTGGGGCTGAGCCGGGGCCCTGGGGCTCCCAGAAAATGATGTGGCCTGGGGACCTGGAGGCTGGTCACTGTGTCACCTTCCTGAGCCTCAGTTTGTACTACTGTGAAATGGGCTCATGACCTCATTTTACCCATCGGGCTTGGTGGGGATTGAGGAACCCTGGGTCCTGAGCTCAGTCCTCATTGCATGCACCCCAGCTGGTTGAACAGTGACAACAGGGAAAGGCCAACTTGGCCCCAGTGCACCCCAGGAGCTCCTCGCTCTGGGCAAAGAAGTCCCATATCAAGGTCTGATCAAAGGCGGGAGGAAGGCTCCCCATGGCGACCTCACCGGCAGCGTCTCTACACCTCAGCCCTTCCAGAGGAAGGAGCCAGAGATCCCAGGGGCAAAGCGAGCTGCTCAGGGAGCGTGGCCAGGGGAGCCAGGGTTGGTTGGTTGGTTGGTTGGTTGGTTAGTTTTGTGGCATTGGGGATGGAACCCTGTACCTTCACAATGAGCTACATCCTCAGCCCATTTCTATATTTTTACTCTGAGACGAGGTCTCACTAAGTCACTAACTTGCCCAGGACTGGCCTTAAACTTGTGATCCTCCTGCCTCAGCCTCCCAGACTGCTGGAATTACAGGTGTGTGACACCGTGCCCAGCCAGAGGCAGGTTTCAAATCAATGATTTCTCCTTCTGAGCCCAGGACAAAGCCCAGCTCAGCTGACTAGTGACTACATGGATGGATGGATGAGTGGACGGACAGACGGATGGAACTGGGCTGCCATAACGAGGGACTCTTTAAGACAGTGTCTACTGAATGCTAATTAGCCCCAGTAGCAGCTTCACTGGATTACACTTAAAGCCTCCCTGCAGTTAAACCAAGCTAGCTGGAGGGGCAAAGGGCACGATAAAAATCACCAAGATCAAGGGCGTCAGAACCTCCGCCTCGCTGTGCTTGTCCGTGGGTCCTTCTCCCGCCACCCGCCTCATCCCCTTCCTTCCCCATTAATGTACCTGCTCATCTTCTCTCTCTTCATCACCTGTATTTACTATCATTTAAAAATAAAAGATTTCTTAGGAGGAAGCAAATACTCCAAGGTGCACAGGGAAGGCGGCTGGCCAAGCTGCGGCGGAGCTCTCCGGCTCCAGGAAAGAGGATGGCGCCTTTCTGTCCCCTGCTGCCCCTGGGCCGTCATTCAGGCCAACACTGGGCAGCTGGACCCCATGGGTTCTACCCCTCCGGGCCTACCCCCCAAGGCTCTATGCCCCTGCCCCAAAATGCAGCCCCCGGGCCTCGCACCAGGCCCGGCCCCCTGCGCTGAGGACTAATATTTAAAATGCAGAATGGCCCCGGTTCCCAAGTCCTGTCATGCCGTAAAAAGATATAAACAGAATAAATTACCTCTCCAGCTCCGATTATGAGAATACCATCTCCTGACTGGAATTTTAAGTCCTGCACTGCACACGGCTGATTTATGGAAACCGGAGACCCTCTCTGCATATTTCTCCTGTTCAGCCGAGTGGCCAAGTTTACCCTTCCTATGCCATTAGCGGTATTAACACCTGGGCAACCGATCATTGCGAATGGGCCATTTCCGTGATGAACGGAAGCTTCGCCCGCCAGCCGCGGCCTCTCCCGGCCACACCACGTCCGGCCTTCTCCTTCTGATTTCACGAAGGGCTCAGGACCTGCCCCGCCCCCGCCCACCCCAGCGGCACCCGCTGGCAGGCTCCCGCGGACCTAGGGCGCAGCCTCAGCCTGCATGGGCAAGCACACACGACGTGTAGCACCGCTTTATGGGCTGCTCTGGGGGCTGCTCCCACTGACCAGGGAAAGAGACGAAGGCTCAGAGAGGGTCAGGGCGCGGCCTGAAGTCTCACAGCGGTCACAGCGGAGTCGGGGCAGGATTCACATCTGCCGGGGGCCCTTGCTACTCAAAGTGTGCTCTGAGGAGCACAGCAGCATCCACATTAGCAATGCAGCTTCTCAGGCCCACCCCCGGATCCAAAGGACCCCCTCTTCGCTGGAGGAGAAGCCTGTGGTGTAGACCGTTCAGAAACCCCCGGGGCCCCAGCGTGTGGTCAAGCTGACTAAGCAAAATGAAGTTGCTGACAGATCCGGCGACACCCTCCTGGGCACCTCTGCCCTGTCTGCCTGTCTTCCTCTGTTGTGACACACCTTCCTCACCTTCTGTTTCTGTCCCTTCCGGGGCTCTGAGCAACTCGGCACCTGAGGCCGTGGGAGCTGGGGCCGAGCACCCACTTCACGCAGGGATCCCATGTTGTTCCTCCCGTCGCTGTGTCCTCGCCTGTCCCTGGGGTTCTGGGAGGCCACCCTGCTCCTCCACACAGCGATGCTGAAGTCTTCTCTCCAAACAGCCCTGCAGGCTTCCAGGAAGCTACGGCTTGGAAGAGAGGGCTCAGCAGCTTTTCTACCCAAAGGCAGCAGCCCCCAACCCACCTGCT